CTGGTCGACCCGTTAACGAGAAGGCGAAATCCGACCCGATACCTATACAAGCAAGGGGAGCGGGACCCATTTTAAAGCTGAAGGTGAAGAAGGAGGTTGATGACGTGGAGCTCTCTGAGAGCTACACGTGCGTAATATCTCGGGACAGAGGAGGGACGGTGAGAAAAAGGGTTTATCTTGGTGATGGGTTGATGGTGGTGGATGGCATTGATGATAAATTTGAGATGAATTCAGGGGCGTTTTCGGAGTCGCCAGCGGCGACGGGGGGTTTCTTGAGCTGCTGTTGTCTCTGTGGGAAGAAGCTTCATGGGCTTGACATTTTCATGTACAGGTAACTATTTCATCTTTTTTTTTCATTTTTATTGGTTTAATAATATCTATTATTTGTTTTGTGTTAATTGCTTGTTCAATTTTTGAAGTTTACAGGGTTTAGTACTAGACAAATTTTTATGTTACAATCTTTATTTGATGATTTGTTTCGGTTGCTGATGTTGTGAGTGGAAGCAAATCCGAATGAAAATGGGTGGTCAAATTTTCACTTATCTGGTTATATAAATAAATAAATAAATAAATAAATATATCCATTTTTTTCCTGATTAAATTGATCGAAATTAGTACTTGTTAGGTTTAATGTTATTTGTATGAAATGATTTATCTTTTATTTTTATTTGTTTTAGTTAGACCATCAAGTGAGAGGATAAATCCATCAATTCTTTTGGAAGCCTGACATAAAATTTGAGGAAGTTGGAGAGTTTTATTGGTTTTTATTTCAGTTTGTTTAACTGTAAATTCTACATTATGATCATATTAGGGGCATCAAGTTCATGATTCTCACTGAACCACTAAGAAGTACGCTGGTCGACCACAAGTAAGCTAGGGGATCAGGAATTTGATTGGATTTCACTAATTGAGTCTTATGGCGTATAAATTGTTGATGCACTTGGTAAAAATGTGAGGTTAATTGTGGATCCGCTAAGTTTCTTAGTGAATCAATTACAAATACGCTAATGACTAGCTGAATTGTTGGTACAATGGATAAATCTATTTGTGGATATATCAGAGGGACATTTAGAAAACTGAAATTTTGATTGCAAACATTCCTAATAGAAGTTTTCTGAGGAAAAAAGATGAATTTAGCGGTGCAGAGTACATAGTTCTTAGCTAATCTATTACAGGCACACTAAGAAGAATGAATTTAATGGTATATTTTATGGCTCAAAATTCATTGTGAATTAATTAAGAGCTGGCTAAGAAAGAAGTGAAAGGTTGATGAACATTAATTAAATTTTGTACAAAAACCAAACCCATAATTTAGTGGTATACAGAGTGAACTTCGATACTTTTTTGAGAAATGAAGTAAATGATGTA